TCCAGAATTTCTCAAAACCTGCCTGCAGCAATGACTGTCGCAAGTCATCTGACGACTGAATCTCAATGAGTTCCAGTTGTAAAGACCCCTCATCCAATGACGATACCAGCTCCTTCCCTTTCAATGCAAAGTCTGCCTCAACATTCACACAGAAAGGGTCCTTCACAAATCTCATCACTTCACTGGAGATGCTGAAATCCTCAAACCTAGTGGAAAAGTGGTTTTTCAATGAGTCAATAAACCCTGACATCACCTCGGTAATTTTCAGGCCAGATTTCCTCAATACGGGGAAGTGGAGCATCTTGCCAGGACAAAGATCAGCAGAGAAGAGTGAGAGCTTTCTTTGAAAAGCATGAAGTTTCTCCACAAGTTCTGCGACTGTTTTATCTCTGCCCTGCAACTCCAAGTTGAGTTGGTTCAAATGTTAGAAACCGTCGCTCAAAAAGCAAACAGCGGCATTAAACTCATCATTTTCCATCAGAGACAGAAACTTGCCCGCTTTTTTCAATTTTGAAGACTGGAGAAACACCAGAATCTCCCCTCTTTGTTCACAAAAAAACGTTTCAAAGCGTTTCCTTTGATAGGCCATCTAATGTCATTGTGAATGAGCAAATCTTTATATTCAGCAGACATGTCAGTCAACAGCTTGCGGAAAAGGCGGTGCTGTAAACTGGAGGTACAACGGATGAAGTTTATAATTGCCATGACAGAGTCCATGGTCTCGTTTAACTCACCGGAGGATTTGATGGATGAGGCAATGCAGAGATCTCACCTGCGGAGCCACAGCTGCCATCCTCACGGCGAGCCCCTGATCCCTGCCCACCATCAAGGGCGCACAAAAATCCAGGTTGTTCTCCTCAAAGAATGAAGCAATTTTGGTGAAGAGAATCTCACCAGTAGTGTGCCCCTCCATGGGAATTAGTCCAAGCAGATCCTCACGAAAACATTCCCCATCAAAAAATCTCACATAGAGGCACAGCTGTGCAACACCACTCGACTATCAGTCGACTCATCCACTGCCAAAGACATCACCTCAGCCTTCCTCAGCTTGTCCAAGAGCGTCTCGAAAACGTCCGATGCAAGGGACTCGACTCTCCTCATATTTGACATGTCAGAAATTGGAATTTGCTTGATCGAATCGATATGTTTTTTTACAGGTTTTCTCATCTGTTACCACCTCCTCAATGGATGCCAGCATACACTCCTTGACTGTCTCCGAGTCTGTAAACGGCTTTTTCTTTTTGCCCAATATCCATGCCACTCGTAACGATGCCGCAGTTTCTCTCTCTTGATCAGTACAGGCCCGAAACACAATGCGACGTCTTTGCTCATAACAAGATGTAAGCCCTGTTATCTTTAGCCTCCGAGCAGCAGAGCCCGGTGTGAAAGTAGCATCAAAGTTAGCATGCGTTGTCTTGAAAGGCCTTCTCAAATTATACTTCTTGCACACGGCAAGGCACTCGTTGCAATTATGCACACAAGATTCGCATCAACGGCAATAAACACGTATTTCTGTCCATTCATTGTTGAACTGCCTGTTCTCTGAGTCAACTGTCGTTTAATCAGGTCTAATATATGTTGTTAGTGGCGAGAATTTTCACGTGAATAAATACATAGATCCAACTATTTTAAGAGTGTATTTAAATGGTCCAGTGGCAGAATTTTGCCAAGCGTGTCAGAGTTTCTGGGTTCTAATCCGCACTCGAATATTTTTTTTATTTTTTTTTCATCAAAACCGATTATGTTTATCAGTGGTTGAATATCTGTGTGCATTTTGTTTTGTAATTTCACCGGAACAAATAGAGAGTCTCCACAATGGATTGAAGCGTGCGTCCGAGTGAAGACTGTGTGCGAGCCACAAGAGAACACTGTATCCGCACCACTGATCACAGCGGCAACGAGCACTTTGATAACTTGATTTCAAAAACAACACATTTCAGCGCTAGATCGCCTCTCATTTAACAAACGAACGAAATGAATGCTCTGGTAGTTAATGGAGATTTTTTAATAATTTCTATTGGTACATTCGTGCCGCGAGATGTTTCAAAAGTGGTGGGAACAATATCTGTGAGGGTCTTGTAAGGAAGAACCCAATTGCAGACAGTTTGCGAAAACACAAGGTTTATTTGACAAAAAAGGGAAAACAAAACCCACAATGGGGTAAAACAAGACTGAAGGGCAAAAACAAAGACTAACAACACTAGACTAAGACTTGACAGGTAACTAGACAAATAACAGCAACAAGATCAGGATTGTACAAGACAGAGTTCTTCACTAGATACTCACAAGAGGGTCAACACACAGGTATAGTATCACAGGATACACACACTGAGAATCACAATGGACCGGCACAAGACAGCAAACACAAGGGGATTAAATAGAGAGACTAATGATAACAACAGGTGACACAGGTAAAGCAATAATGACAAAACGAGGATAACAAGGGGGCGGGGCCAGAGGACGAGACAACACAAGCACATGGCCCAAACCAAAGGCCACCTGCTTGCACACAAAACATGGTTCTGTCATGATCCTGCCTCAAGAATTAAAGAACAATAAGAACTAGATGGCAGAATCATGACAATATCGACCTTAGCAAAAAGTGGTGGGGACATGTCCCACCGTCCCACCCGCAAATTACGCCTAAAGGGCCGGTACAAAATCCCCCAGGGGGCCCGGCCCTGGGGCGGCCAATTGAATAGTCCGGACCTAAACCAATCTGATACGATCTGGTCCAATCGTGCTGGCAAAGTTGATCGATCAGCTTGGTCATCTGCATTTTCCGGTTCAGAATGATTCGGACTCAAATTGATAGCTGTAGTACCGACATTATCACCTGTCATTATTGCTTTGGGAGCTGATGTTCCAAATATGGTAAGGGGCGTGACATTTACATCACACGCTTAAGGTTTTTAGGCCAATCACAATGCACTGGATCGCTGGCCAATCAGCGCTTTTCAGAACGATGAGCTTTGTAAAAATAGACACAAAATTTCAGAAAAAGAGGCATAGAGGAGCAACAACAATGTACAGTATGTGTAAAATAATGACTTTTTTTTAACCTAAAACCACGTAAACACATTGCATTAAACCAAATACACAAAACAATGTTCTTTTTAGAACCATCATATGACCCCTTTAAACAAAAATACTGCAAAGCGTCCAAAAAAAAAAGAATTATAGAGAAAATCTAGAAAGAAGGAAAAATAATTCCCAGGGCAATGTCTGAATACTCCAAATAGGAAGGAAAATACTGTCAAAATAATTTCAAAGAGTTTGCAGTGCCGCTTGCGTCCACAGAGCGGCGCTAATGTGTCAAAAATGGCAAGCGAGGATTCTTCTGACACTGGTTCTGAATCAGCTTAATTCTAAAGCAACAACAAAAATATCTTTCAAAATAAAAGTCCTTGAATACCTCCACACAAGCATCTAGTGCAGACTGAATGTGGTTTCAGTCTGATGAATCGTATCAAGACAAATTCACTGACTTCAGACCACCCACTTATTGGATCAGCTAATGAGAATCAGGTCTACACAAGCAGAGGGCCCTATAAATCTAGACAAGGTCTACACTTTAAGCACTGAAAAGGGGACAATGACAGACGGGAGAAGTATTAAGGTAGGTTACAATATTAATAAATACAATTTCTATTACTAAATAGTACCATTACTAAATTAGGAAATATTAGGAAATCAAAAATCCCAGCGTAGAGGGACAGCTTGTCTGACAGGACTGCATGTAACAGCCTTTATTTGACAAACCCCATGGGTTTGGACCAGTAGCGGACTTTAGTACACATGCAGAACTACCGTATATAAAAGCTATTCACATGAGCACATATAAAACTAATGCCAACTAGTTACTGACCTGATGCAGACACAGCACTGATATAGTCTTGGTCTGAAGAGAGGTTTACGTAAGGTCACATGACAATAATCTGGCCCAATGGCTCTCTATATATGAGAGAACGCTGCAGTTCCATGTTTCACCACAGATTTACATTGGAAATGTGCGGGGCGCTGTAGAGCTAGGGAGGCCAGCTGCCCTGCTGTATCATGAATACATGCCTGCCGAATCCATGTGTTACATTTTAATATATCCTGTTCACTTTACGACTTAAAATAGTCTAGAAAATCTGAAAAACATTTTTTGTAGAATGCTGAACACATTTATAATTTATTATTAATTCAATGCATAGAGGAGGTCTATGTTTGGATGAATATTTTGGTGGGGCTCTGTCCATACAGACGAGCCGCGGCTGGTTTGGACACAGGGCAGCTCACCAAATGTTTGGTCATATAGCAACAATCTTTAACGCAAGCCTTGAACATGGAGTCAAGCCAGTCGCGGTTTGACGTGACCAATATTCAGGTCATTTAAACCAAAAAAGTTATTTGTTCTGGTTTCAGAGTTCAGTAACATCAAATCAATCAAAAACATCATATTGCTGCTGATTTTTTTCAGAGACAGATGCAGCTTTTATTTGCGTAGGCCTATATTTAATATTTTTTAATGGTCTGTTGCTTAACTGATGCCTTCCTAATTCTAAAAATTTGTTTAGAGCTTTTTGGGTTCAACCCACTATATTTGTTGCTCACAGTTTTAAAGTTTGTGCTCAGATAAATATTTATCTGCTCAGGTGTTACTTGGGTAACATTAAAAATATAATTGTGCTAAACCATGTTTACACCAGATGCGAGCAGCGCATCGCGACATGTCAAGAACATTAACCTTTACAATTAGTGATTCTATCTACATATTTTAAGTAAATGTACTGCATGTAATGCATGTCTTCAAAGACTTGTCTAGATTACTCAGGATAAGAAGATCGATATATAATCATACAAAATAGGTTTTTGCTACAATTCCAAAATAAGTGAGCTACTCAAATTATCCAAGTAAAGTAACAAACAAAAATGATTCATTTGTTTATATTACACTTCTTTATGTTACAGCCTCAATGATTCATTTGTATCAGTGTGATCAGCTCTACTCTCACCTGGCTTTCTACCAGCATGGCCATATCCATGAACATATCGTGCAGCTCACGGATGTTGTTCTCCAGTTTGATGATTTCATTGTGTTGCGTCTCAATCTCGTTCATGGCCTGTTCAGTGATGTTGCAGTCCATGATGATCTGTAGGGGGGAAAAAATAATAAAAAGATATTAGAAAGTGGCGATGCTGAAGTTTTCCAACATAAGTCTGCTTCAATCACTGGCTGGTTTACGGAGCGCAAAAAACAACAAAAAAGTGCAGTATGCTCTGGGAAGGGGATTGAAAACTCAAATCTCACAAAATATGAACTTTTGCAGCTCTAAAGACCCAGCAAATGTGTTTGTGTCCTGTAAGGGCCACACAATTGGTCCAATGACTGAATCCAATGGTGTGGCTGAAGGTTATTTCCTGCGCGTTCTGTCTTTTCAGTGAGCAAAGTATTTAATTCTAGTTAACATTCAACATTCTGACTCCCATGTTATCCTGACCTAGAATTTAGGTTAGAATGGCAATTGATTATTGGTCATTTTAATTATTATTTACCTAGACATTTGATGATGCAATTTAACTCTTTATTTTACATTGTAGTCGTAGATTGAACTTCATTCACATTCCAATGTGACTCAGAGTCATGCGGCCATGTACACGGATCTCACGGTCACAAACTCGTTAGTCTGGGTCATTCGACAGAGGTAATTGACTAATACTATTTAGATGGGTACCCATGCTTCCTCTTCCGTAAAAGTACTTAAGTTAGTCTCAACATATATGTACTCATTTAAAGCAAGACTATCTCTGGCCAGCGGTCATGACCACTACCATAGATATTAGCCGATTGCCTTTTGTGGCACGTCTCCTAGACCAATATCAAGAACTGGACCGTGACTCACCTTCAGTGAGCTCAATAAAAGTAAAGCCATCCATTTCAGCCACTCCGACAACAAGATTATTCCAACTGACTAACATAGTATCTTTGTAATGACCAGTTAATGATGCTGTATCCACTCACCCCTGAAGTGAAGATGGGGTTGTCACTTTCTAACACGCTCTCCAACTCCTCATTTGTTGTATTTCTTCCGGCTACACAGAAAAAAACATGATATTAATAGCTTGTTTGTGCTATAGTGTACGTGTAAATGTTTGTCTTTGTACTAGTTGATGTAAAATAATACATTGACACACATACAATGTATATTGGATGATTTTTGTAAAGATACTATCTATAGCCGCTCTTCCAATGTCGGCCCAGTGCGAGCCAGGGCTAACAGCGTGCTGTGCGGGGGCCAATAGCCTCGGATCTCAAGCACCAAGCCCAAAATCAAGTTGCGTCTCCACTGTCGGGCCAGTAGCCCCGCAGCGCTACCCTAAAACCCACCCTTAACACGCCTCCATACAACGACGTCACTCAACCATTTCACCAGCTGACTGAATAAGCATGACGGAAGCGAACTTTTGGTCTTTGCTTAAGACTCCAGCATCGATATTTGACTAATGTTTTACAATAAATGATACAGTGACAGTGAATTTAGTTACAGCCAGACAGAGGAAACACAGCTAATGTGTGGCCTGGGCCTGCTGTGCCAAATGGTTTAATATCTAGTGGATTGACTAGACTTATGTGTATCTGTATCATTTACTAGTGACTTTAGCAATGTGAACCTAGTTTGAGTAACTATTGACATAAACCAGTTCTACCAGAAAGACTCGGGAGAATAAATACTGTAACAATAAATACATTTATTGATAGCCCAGCAAGCAATAAAGTTCTTTGGCGTAGGCCCCGTTCATAGCTCGCAATCCGAGGGTCCGGACTCTGCATTTCCTGCCTGAAGACGAAGGCAGGGGCGCAGCCGACCCCCTGTGAGGTATAGGAAGGGACCATCCTGGTGGTGGTGGGGAGGATGGAGAGGAAGGGACCATCCTGGTGGTGGTGGGGAGAATGGAGGGGAAGGGACCATCCTGGTGGTGGTGGGGAGGATGGAGAGGAAGGGACCATCCTGGTGGTGGTGGGGAGGATGGAGGGGAAGGGACCATCCTGGTGGTGGTGGGGAGGATGGAGAGGAAGGGACCATCCTGGTGGTGGTGGTGGGGAGGATGGAGGGGAAGGGACCATCCTGGTGGTGGTGGGGAGGATGGAGAGGAAGGGACCATCCTGGTGGTGGTGGTGGGGAGGATGGAGGGGAAGGGACCATCCTGGTGGTGGTGGTGGGGAGGATGGAGGGGAAGGGACCATCCTGGTGGTGGTGGGGAGGATGGAGAGGAAGGGACCATCCTGGTGGTGGTGGTGGGGAGGATGGAGGGGAAGGGACCATCCTGGTGGTGGTGGGGAGGATGGAGAGGAAGGGACCATCCTGGTGGTGGTGGTGGGGATGAAGGAGGGGAAGGGACCATCCTGGTGGTGGTGGGGAGGATGGAGATGAATGAAAGCGTTAGCATCTGTGAACTCAAACATGTGTAAGTACTGGTCTTTTATACCGCAAGTATTAGACACGATTGGATAGATGAGAAGGTAATAAGTGGCATAGCAAATTAGTCTTCCTGGCAGAACTTAACGCTAAAGCATCCATTTCTTTGTGCCTGAGTCAATATGGCTCAAAAGTAACTAATTAGAATGCATGACTTTAACAAATGATATCACATCGCAAGCTGCTAGATATGGAGAAAGTTACCTCCATTCAGCATGAATTTATTTATATTTTGCTAGGTTTGAACAGTCTATCCATAAGTATGGTCATGTGACAAACACCAAACCTCAGGAAAACATGCAAACCTGCACTCTTCATAAAAAGCTGTGCTTGGCTGTAACCTCATAGCAGGTTTCTACCTGTTGCTATTATTGATTCAAAATGCATGTTTTCATGCCAGCTTAGCTTATATGCTTAACTATTCACTCCTTGCATCATACAAAACTTGTCAAACGTGTATGCTTGCTTCATTAATACATTGATAAATGCAGATCATACAAGATTGTTTAATGATTTGGAATAATAAAAGCTAAAGCTGTAATGAAATCGTAGTAGCAAAATATTTTATCTTCCTTATTGTGACATCCGAGTGTATGGTGGGGACTTGGTTTTATGGATCAGTTAATGATTGGATTTTGAGTAGTGGGCATAAGTGCAGGCAGATAAACATGAGCTTGCAACAGCGGGTTTAAGCGCACAGAATATTGCACTCATCACCAGAACTGTGTTGTTTTCACCAGAAGGTTCAGTTATGACAGTTTGATTGAACATTACCAGATTAAACTTTTAAAAAATCAAGCATAGGCTATGCATGAATTAATTGTTAACAATATGAACTATAACATGCATTTAGAAAATAGCGTACATTTTAATCTCATGTCAACTTTGGGTTATATTATTAGGATTTTCTTACACACACCTGTTATTTCACTTAAGAAGATATTTAAGCATCCCCTGGGGTCATATGGATTGCCATCATGATGGCTGTGTGTGCTTTTTCACAGCTAACAAAAACATGTTCTTAGAATGTTTTGCTAACATTCCCATTAGGTTATGAAAACTTGATTTCTGAATGTTTTTTTCCTTGGTTAATGTGAACGCAAATTTTTTTGATTTCCATTACACGAGAGTAGATGTTAAAACTTCATGCTGATCTGCACTCGGCTTTCGCCAAGATAAGCACCAACTAAGACGTAGCTTTACAGTAAACTATGCTTCTCCATCCATTTACGCTTCCTTCCATATGGTGATGTGAATCTCCTTCTGTCTGGTGTTAATGGCTGAAGTATATTTCCTGGCGCGTCAGCACACACAACGGCTGCGATGCTGGCTCTGGGGATCAACCACAGTGCTATCTCCCCAGCGGATCAGCATGACATCCGTCTGGATTGAGCTGAGTAGGGGACATCTCTGGGGTCTTCAAGTGGGTACCTTCCGTCCTCAGTGTTTCGTCGACTAGCCCACGACACCTCAAGAGGGCTCGACAGTGACTCTGGCGTCCCAGAGTCACCCCCCTCCGTCCCCCACTCAACTCAGCCCAGCTTACTTACCTGTACAGCGTTTCTTTCTTTCTTTCTATTGTGCTTGAGATCCCTCCTGCTGCTGAGGTTGCTCCTTCCTCGTAGTTCAGTGGCATAAACCCTTAATGTGACCTAACCACAATCTCCTAACCACAATCTCTAACGGCACAATCTCACCGCAACCCGACCATACACGCCAACCCGTTTGACTAAGGCTGTCGAAGCCCCACTGTCGTCGTTAAAGCAGGTTCAGTGGCAACGGTTCCGTATGGCATACTACCTACTGTAACACAACAACCGACCATACGCACCAACCCATTTGACTAAGGCTGACAAAACAGGTTCAGTGGCAATGGTTCCGTTTGGCATACTACCTACAATAAAACACAACAATATCTGTCCAACACAAATCCTCATTCATGCAAAATACAGTACACGGGATTGTAATAACTATGATAACTATGCAAACTATAAAAAATAGACTCTTTTTTCAAGAATTCTTTGAAACCGTAGCGTGGCGGCCTGTACACAGCCAGCCAGAATCTTTCCGTCTCAACCACAGCCAGTTGCTGCTCCTCTCTGCTGCTTCAGATAAGTTCTTTACTGTGCGACACAACTCTTGGCCACTGAATCCGACGTCTCTGAGAAACCGGGTTGTATGGGTGTGCCACAAATCCTCGACAACCCACTTCCACTGGATAAACCTGGACTCTCCATCCTCGCTGTTCTGCTTCAGTGGCCAGCTGAGCATACCGCAGTTTCTTCCTCTCATATGCCTCATCTACAGCATCCTCCAATGGCACTGTTAACTCTATCAGGTGAACAAGGGGTGCTGATCCGGACCACAAAACAATATCTGGTCGTAGGTTAGTGGTGGCAATCTCAGGTGGAAAAATAAGCCGTTGATCAACATCTGCCAGCATTTTCCAGTCTCTAGCAGCTTCCAGTTGTCCTGGGCTTTAACACCTAAATTGGTTTTAACACCTTTTCTTGGTGGTTGCTCGCCTGGGCGGAGGAATATTGTCTTCTGTGTGTAATGTTTTGCTAGAACAGGTGGCAACTTATTGGTCATGTTACGCTTGTCTTCCAATGCTAAAGCCAAACATCGCAGTACTTGGTCATGGCGCCAAGTAAACCGACCTTGGCTAAGAGCCACCTTACATCCTGTCAAAATGTGCCTTAATGTGGCAGGTGATGAACACAAAGGACAAGAGGGATCCTCTCCTACCCAGAGGTTTAGGTTCTGCGGTGATGGGAGAACATCATATGTTGACCTAATAAGGAAACTGATCCTACTCTCTTCCATTGACCAAAGGTCTTGCCAGCCCATCTTGCGTTGTTCCACACTCTCCCATCTCATCCACTCTCCCTGCTTGGCCTGGGAAATGGCCTTTATACACCTCATCCTCTCCTCCTGCTTTCGCACCTCATTGACTACCAGCTTCCTCCTTTGAGCTGGGCCTGCCTTGTGCCATTTAGGAGGAGCTAAACTGAGCCCAAAACCCCCTCTTCCATGCTGTACTTGCCCCACGATATCACCAATTTGAAGGGCAGCCTTTGCCTCTTCCACAGCTTTCTTTGCTGACCACTTTCTTCCAGTTTTTACCACAGGGGCTGCCTCCCTTACACATTTGTCGCGTGACTCTACTAAGGTCATTTCCAGTCTGACCTTGGCGCACTTAAACTCCTCGGCTAAAGCAGAGACTGGTAGCTGCAATATTCCTTTACTATAAAGTCCCACTCTGCTGAGGTAGCGTGGAACTCCCAACCATTTCCTGATGTATGAACTTATTAACGCTTCCAGCTTCTCTACTGTTGTCAAAGAAACCTCGTACACAGTCAGTGGCCACAGCAACCTCGGCAGTAGACCAAACTGAAAGGACCAGAGTTTTAGTTAAAGGAAGATTCCATTCACTCATTTTGAAAATGTTATTAAAACATTAAAAACACTCTGAACGGATGGTCCGTCCATCACCAGGCTCACACACAGACACTTAAATATCGCTAATTTACCTTTGCTGCATGTCTTTCAACTGTGGTGGAAACTAGAGTACCTGGAGGAAATCACGGAGAACCTGCTAACTCCTGGCTCAGC